TCAAGCTCTTAGGGACACTCACAAATCGCTGAGGGCCTCTATTCGCAAGGATAAGGCTGCGCTCATACATTCTGCTGCTGTCCTTGCTGCTGAGGGCGGAGTAAAGAATGTCATGCAACGTCTTCGGCCTCTACTCGGACCACCAAAGCGGCTTTGTCGTGATAGAGCACCCTTGCCTGGAGTCAAGCTTGCAGATGGGAGCGTTGCCCCTACATCTGATGCCAACCTTGACAGATGGGTTGAGCACTTTTCTGCTATTGAAGGCGGGTTCCGCCTGCCTCGTGAACAGCTTGCTGCAATGTGTGTTGCGAGGCAAATGTCTCGCAGTGCAGAGCACTTTGAGCTTGGGCCTGGGGATTTACCATCACTCTCCAGGGTCGAGGCAGTGGCCAGGAACACTGCAGTCTCCAAGGCCATGGGTGTTGACTGCATTCCTGGTGAGCTTGCTCATTGTGCTCCAGCCGAACTCAGTCGCGCAGTTTACCCTCTCCTTCTTAAGATCTGGCTCCGCAATGCTGAGCCGCTTCATTTCAAGGGAGGCACTCAGCACTCTGTTTGGAAACGCAAGGGGCCCCAAGATCAGTGCGACGGCTTCAGGGCGATCCTCGTCACATCAGTGATTGGGAAACTCAACCACGCATTGTTGCGTCAGTCTTGCATCGATGCTATGGCCGCCTCCGGCAGTGCGCTTCAGATAGGCGGCCTGCCCAAATTTCCAGTTATATTTGGGTCTCTTGTGGTCCGCCTGTTCCAGGCCTCTGCTTCCCAAGAATGCTATGGCCTGATATTCTTGGACTTGCGAGAAGCTTTCTATCGTGTTGTGCGTCCTCTTTTGGTCAATGGACTCGATGAGCTCTCACATGTTCAGGCCATTGTCGACAGGTTGCAGTTGCCGACATGGGCTGCTGCTGACATTGTTGCTCTGTGGAAAAGGCCAGCCACCTCCCGGACCAGCTTGACTCTTCACCAACAGGCCCTTTGGAGAGAGAATTTTTCGGACGCTTGGTTTCAGCTCCCTGGTCAACACGACCTGGTCCGTACAAGTACAGGGAGCCGTCCTGGAGACTCACTTGCGGATGCCGGCCTCTACTTCTTGTTCACTTGGGTGCTGAAATCTGTCACGACCACCCTCAGGCATGAAGGATGGCTCCAGCCTGTTCCATGGGATGAACGTATGCTTGACAACTTGCATTCTGTGGACAGCCCGGCGCATCTTTGCTGGCCTCTTGATGTCACATGGATGGACGACCTTTGCCTTTTGCTACGTTTCAATTCGCCGCACCTCTGCGCGACAGGCACATCTTTCGCAGCTGGTATCCTGGTCGACACCTGCCTTCGCCATGGTATGGAGCCGAATTTGGGTCCAGGGAAAACAGAATGCATCGTGCAGTACAGGGGAAAGGGTGCGAGGGAACTACGCAGGGCTGCTCACAGTCTGTCCCCTCCATCCCTTCCTCTGATGTCGCAACTGTGGAAACAGGCGCGTATTCGGATTGTCCCTCGCTACAAACATTTGGGCGGGCTGGTCTTCCACTCTGGTGGGCTCCTTGATGAGTCGCGCAGCAGGGTTGGCCAGGCATGGAGCGCGTTCAATCGGCATTACAAGTCGGTGTGTGCAAATCCTGGAGTTTGCCTCTCCGATAAGTGCCAGATTTACACTTCCATCGTTGAGTCCTCTTTACTGAACTTTACTGTATGGAGCAGGAACCTGGCCTGAGGTTACTAGCAAGGTTGTCTCAGTCATCGAACATGCTTATGTTGACATGCTTCGGCGTCTTCTTTACAAGAGTTGTAGCTGGGACACTTTTCATGCCGGTGCTAAACGGATCCTCGCTACAGCTGGCATGCCGGATGTGCAAACGCAGTTCCACATACATCGACTCAGGTACCTTGCTTCGTTTGTGCAAGTAGGAGTTACGGAAAGCTGGGCGCTGGCGCACCGCCAAGGCGGTTGGCTTGCATTGGTCCGCTCTTCTCTTCAGTGGCTTTGGTGCCGTGTTGCTAAAACAGGGAACCCCTCTGGTTGGAACTCTGCAATAGCTGGATGGCTGGATATGATCCGGTCTTCGCCTGGCAAGTGGAAAGCTCTGATCAGGAAAGCCCGCAACATTGCGATCTGGGAGGACAGGGTGGCGGATCTTCACCAACAGTTTCTTGGTCTGGCTGCCAAACAACTGGCCTATAAAGGTGCTCAGGTTCCCCCGAGAGATGCTGAACAGCTGGATTCCACTGAAGCTTCCGTGGAAGTGTGCGGGCCATGTGGCAGAACCTTTAAAGACAAGCGCGCCTGGGCTGTACATGCTTTCAAGTGTCATGGTCGAGTGCGGGAGGCTAGGAAGCTTGTTTCTGGCTTCTCCTGCCCTTCGTGCCTGAAGCTGTATGCCAGCCATATTCGTCTTTGCAATCACTTGCATCATTCAACGCGATGTTTCCAACAACTTAGACTTGCTGGTTTCCAAGTTCAGACTCAACCTGGACAGAACAGCAGAAAAGCCAACAGGCTGGCTCCGCCTTTCGGCCCAGTCCTGGATCTTCAAGGTCCTCTACCTCAAATGCTTGACGCTGAGGAGGACATTGAGACGCCTATTGTTGGTCAGCTAGTTGCCGCTTTCCGTGAACTTTGGAGTCACCTTGATATTGTACTTTGGGATCAGGTGTTGGGGTTCTATAGGCAAGCCTTGTTATCCCACTGTGCGTCGCTCTCAGACCTCAGCAGTGCTTTTGCGCGGGCACAACATCATCTGTGTGGACAGTCAGGGGAAGAGCTTCCGCTACACCAACTTGTGCTCCACAGGCGAGCTCTTGATTGGCTACAGCGCAATTTTACAGCTTCCTGGCTTCTGGAGGGTGAAGCCTCGCCTTTAGCCCGCGGCCTTTGCACGTTCAGGGATGCTGCTGCAATTTGGGATGCTCTCGACTTTCAAAATTTTCCTGAGGTTCAGTTTGCAGCTTGTGATGGTGCTGTTACCTTTGGGATTGTTCTCGTTGAGATTCTTCAATGGGCTTCTGACCTCCTTCCTGGGGCCCGCCTTTTAGGTGCTGTAGCTTGCGATGACACCGGCCTTAGCGGTTTCTGGAATGCTTACAAAGAGTCTGTTGCATTTGCTTCGAACAATGTTCTCTACCTCAACCTCAGCACGGAGGCCTTCAGCTCTATGCTGTGCATGGTTCCACAGTCTTTGTCACAATGGGAGATGAATTGGAAGTCGCGTCAACTTTTGTATGACGTTGCGCTCATATTCGTTACAGCAAGATCGCTGGGTCAGCCAGCACTTTTTCTGTTGCCGGAAGGCGCTCTGCCATTGATCCAACGTGTCCTGCAGATCCCTGGAGTTCACTTTGCTTTGGCCGGACCGGCACTCCTATATTGTGGCATTGAACCCTCAGGATACTCCCACTTGTGTTTCACCGTTTGAATTAGGTGCACCTAAAGGGCGCATTCGACCTTCGGATCCAATTGCCCTGAAAGTGAAAGTGAAAGTTGATTCTCCATTGTTGGGGTTATGCCCCTAAAGCCTATAGAACTCCTATTGCATGGCATAACCCATAGAAAAAACACACCAATAATGGAGACTCAAATGGAAAAGACAACAGAAAATGATGGGTATCAGGCCTTTTCAATCCCTACCCTAAACCCTATATAGCCCTTATATATCCCCCATATTTGCCAGGAACCCCCAAGGATGAGATTATGCCTAGAGTCGTCGCGTGGCCCAGGATGCAAAGTACCATCAGCTCGCCAGACTTGGGCTGTCCTGCCACCAATGTGCCTCAGGCTGTAGCCCTGAGGGTCCTAGACCAAAATATTTTGGGGGTTTCCCAGAATTGGGGGTGCCATTCTGGGGCCCATATGATGGGGACTATAATATGTTAGGTCCTATATTGGGGTCTACTCATGTAGGGAACCATGATATAATGAGCTGTACCGTAGCTACCCAAACCGTTCAGATATAGGATTTGGAGCCGAGAACCCCATTTATTTGGGCACTTGGACCCTTAGATAGCAGGAAACAATTAAGAAACACATCAAACTTGACAAGGGCTTTTTCTGGGAATGGCATGTCCCGGTGGCCCCAAATAGGATAGACCCTCAAGGATGGACTCCGCAAAAGGGATTGGTAGTTTCCCGAGGTCCCCCAATATAGACTCCAAAAATACGATAGCCCTAATTATGGGGACCCCCAAAAAGGGACCCCTAATTTTGGGAAACCCCCATCATAATGGAACCAAGTTGTTGTTCGAGGGGGGGCTCTTGGGGACCGATTTGACTAAAAGGAAGGACAGCCAGGATATCCATTATAACCCCAATATACTACAGTAGTTTCCACTCTCTTTTCCATTATCCCATTCTAGCCCCAATATACTATAGTAGTTTCCATCCTCTTTTCCGTCATCTCATTATAACCCCAATATACTATAGTAGTTTGCTGCTAAGCTCGTCTGTCATTGCTTGGAGGACACGGACAATCAAAAACGGAGCGACCGAACTCCAACGTCTCCTTGCCAGTCCCGCACTGGGTGAATAGTCCCCCTCAAGTAGATACAATATGGGGTATATGGGGGTCCTAAAATATACCCAAAGCCATATTCTATCTACTTAAGGGGGACTATAAGGTAAGTTGATGCTACAGGACTTCGTGGCGACAATCCCGAGGCAAGACATAAACGCACATACAACTTGGGCCAATCTGTTCTGGATGCTGCCGTGGCACGAAATGCTCATGTGCGTGTCGTCAACAGCACAGATTTGGAAATTCCCAATCTGGATGAACTGAAAGCCGAACTTGATGCCGCGAGAAGCTCCGGGGACCCTGAAATTACAGAGTGCATAAGGTAATAATACTAATAGCAATAATAATAATGGTAATAATAACAATAATAGTAATAATACTAGTAATAATAATAACAATCGTAATATTTAATAACATTCATACACGCGCGCACTGAAGCTGCACCTTGACTTATCCTCCAAGCAACATTGTCAGTGAAAGCTGAGCCCCCTACCTGTCGAAAGAACCAAAGTCCGTGCGCGGACCATTGGCAACATGGCCGTCGGATCGGAAGATTTGCGCAGTCATGCCATTCCTGTGCGAAATGGAGAAATGTGTGTCGTCAATGGCGGCCAGGCGAAACCCTCCCAGCTCGATGAATCTATCTCCCATAGGAAGATTGTGGCATGCCGTTGCTGATGAGGTCGGGTGAACATGTTCGGATACTTGCTCCGGTGGCGGGACGGTCTCACCCATGGGCGTCGACCGCCTGCAGAAGGTTTGGGGTTGAGCTTAAGACTTTGGGATTTGGGGTGTAGACTGCCTGCCGGAATGCTTGCATCCGAGCTCTGCCGCGCATGGAGCAGTGTCGAATCCAGGAGTTTTATAGACCTCCTTGCAAAAGAGCTTCTGAGGGGCCTCATTCATTCATGGTCTCGCTTTCATCATACCACTGACATGTTCCATCTCTTCAGCGTGCCCCTTTAGCTTTATCATGGTGTTGCTAGGCTTGTGCGAAGGACAACCGAGATAAGCAAATGCGACGGATTCAGTCAAACCAACTCTGAAGAAGATCGAACGCACCTTAACTACAAGTATAAGGCCTCAGCCAGCCAAACACATAATCTACCGGAAACGGCGAATATGATGGATCTGGTCTTCTGTCAGTTGAGGGGCCAGAAGCTCGATCGGTGTGAAGGTGAGTGCAAGGTCGGGAATGTGTCTTCTGATTTCTTCGGATGCCCGGATGGCTGCGTCTGTGATAAGTTTCTTGACGTAGTCACTTCCGGGTAGGCATCCAACAGCAGGACCCATTGCCATGCCGTACTCTATCAGCTTTGCAGCGCCAGTAATGATAGCCTTATTGATCAATTCCTTCAGGATTCCTGTAGACAGCTCAAACCCAGGTGGTAGATCGAAGCCTGTGATGGCGACGTCAGCATAGGTGTTCAAAGCCTCGAAGCCGAAACAAGACAAGAACACAGCAAATTAACCCTAGGGATCCAAGCATGCAAATAATACCTACATTGGGCCCTAAAGTCTGTAAATATTACCTACACTGGGCGATTTGGATCCCCAGGGGTAACTAGAACTCGATCCAAAAGCGGAATCCAAAGAAAGCTGAGCTCTGGGCAGCTGCACCACAGATGTCGAGCTGATTTGAGGAGGTGGGCGCAGGGTCCTTGTAAAACGAACCCGAGCGGTAGGACAGAGTGCCCTGAGCCCTGGCTTCCGCATGAACCATCGTGTTGAAGTTGATTGGAATGCCCGGCGTGGGCCACACCTGATTCATTGTGTGCATGTTCCCTAGTCAGCGGGGTTCCACTGGTATCACTACTTAAAGATCCACCCTTTGCTTGGTACCACCACGGTTTGTTGATGGTCTTCCTGAAAAGTTTCATATGTTTGAAAGGCTTGGTTTTGCCCAGGCTTTTCATAGGCTCCCAGCCCATGCCATTGAGTAAAGTTTTGTTTTACAAAGCTTTCAAAAAGAGCACTATTGAGCAACCTGGGTTATAACAGGCAACGACTGCAACCAATGGACTTTCAATGTATTTCCGGGACCTGGGGCAATTTCAAATCCATTGGTTCCAGGGGTTGTTTGGCACAACCAGGTTTTTCAATGGTTTTCATAAGACACTTGCTTCTACCAAGTTTGCTAGACTTGCAAGAATGCTGTGCTGTCCCAATCTGCTGTTGGAAAACTATCAGACATGCTGTGCCATCCCTTTGGATTGTTGTGACAGTGCAGCACTTGTGCTGGTTTTCTACTTACTCGTACGAAACTTCTAAACTTCTACCCGCTACCAGACCGTACCCCGGGTAGGGGGGAACTGTTCGAGTTCGAGTTCGGGTTCGAGTTCGAGGTTCGAGCAAGTTTGAAGGGGGGGGTGGAGTTCGAGTTCGAGTTCGA